GGTGTAGCCGAGTCGACGGGAGAATCTTTCCAGCCCGAGATGTTTGCGTCTTTGTGGAAGCAAAAAGAGGTCATCTCTGAGGTCCTTTATGCGGCGCTTGAAAGCAGTCTCTGAGGCAGCCTCCGACGCATCGTTTGCCCCAGCTTGTCCGAATAAAAACATTGCCGTGGGTTGGATTTCAGTGAAAATCAATGTTGTTTTAATTAAAACGCTGCAAGAAGTGAGGTTTTTTTTAAAGCAAATACATGCTAGGTTCCCAGGGGCGACTCGCCGGCGCTGTGCTCCTCCCTGCCCACCCTGCCCGTGCAGGGCGGTGGGACGCCAGCTCTCTTCTACCCCAGCCAGCGAGACCCTGGTGCTCGCCCCGGCCCTGGTTCCCCGTGCGTTCGCGCTGTGTGATGGGTCCCCAGCACGGGCAGCGTCCGAGCCTCCTGGCACAGCCCCGGGGACTGGGACCGATGCAGCTGGGGCACTTGGGATGCTAAAACCACCTCAGGCAGCGGTGTGGAGGGAACCACCCTCTGCGGCTTCCTCCGCTGATGCCACCCCTTTGTATTGCAGAAGGGAATAGGAATCGGAGAAAGTGCGGTTGGTCCTGAGGGATGGTGTGCCCGGGCTCCTGGCAGCGCAGGTCGCAGGCGCTTCCCGTGTAACCTTGCTTTCCTTCTGATCAACAAAGCTTGGCCTTTTCCCGCCCCCGCTGTAAAATGTTTGTGCGAAGGAAAAAGAGCTCTTGGGACCACGTCGCTGCCAGTGGCTTGTTGTGTTGGGCTTAGAACAGAAAACCAAACGGTACAGGCAGAGAAGAATATTACCTCCAGGAGAGCTCCAGAGCTCAAATCCTCGTTTCCTGCCCCCCCTTTCAGTTTGCGTTCCTTTGGCTGCCTTTTAAGGGTCCTGCACCTGGGGAGGAACAACCCCATGCATCAGTACAGGCTTGGGGTGGACCTGCTGGAGAGCAGCTCTGTGGAGAGGGACTGGGAGTGCTGGTGGACAACAGATTGACCATGAGCCAGCAGTGTGCCCTGGCTGCCAAGAAGGCCAATGGGATCCTGGGGTGCATCAAGAGGAG